AAGATAAATACAACATTTAAAAAAAGAGTAGACCGGCGTTGATACGGATACAGAAGACTTGAACACTATTATCCAATTCAACATGTATGGAACACTGCACAACAGTAAAATACATGTTCTTTTCAGGTACTTGTGGAACATTTATTTTCCAAGGTAAAACAAACCCTGGGCCATGAAGTAGACCCTATAAATTTGAAAGGATTCAAGTAGTTTTTTATATGTTTCCTGACTACATTAAAAACAATAACAGAAAGATCTTGGGAAAATGCTCAATATTTGTAAACTAAACAACACACTTCTAAACAACCCATGAATCAAAAAAGAAAAATCAACAGCAAACTCAAAAGTATTTTGAACTGAGTGGAAATCAGACTTTGCGACTGTGGGAGAGAGGGGGGAACAAGGGGACTAAATGGTAACGGACAAACGTCCCAATAAGAACCGCTGGGGGCTCCGGCCGAAACTGCGTGGTATGGAAGTGCTTATGTTAGAGAAGGAAAGATGGTAATCAGCAACCTCAAAAGCTAGAAAAAGAACAACTTAAACCAAGGAAACAGAAGAAAATAATAAAAATCAGAACAAAAATCAATAAAACAGATAACTGAAAAACACCATATATCAATAAAACCAAAGTTGGCTGAGAAGCAATAAAACTCTAGCGCGAATGATCAAGAAAAAGCGAAACACAAATTGCCAATATCAAGAATGAAATAAGTGACACCAGTATAGATTTAACAGGTACTACAAGGGGAATATTATCAACACTGCTATGCCAGTAAATCAGACAATTTAGATTAAGTGAACAAATTCCTCCAAAGATACAAACTACCAAAGTTCACTCAAGAAACATAAACTGGAAGCATTTGCTATCTTGCTCCTTGGCATATATCATTAGTTTGGCTCAAATAAACTCTTCATAAAAATTTAAAAAAAGGGAAGCAACTGAATAGTCCTGTATCTATTAGAAATAAAACTTATAGATAAAATGCTTTCTATACAGAAAACTCCAGACCCAGACAGCCTCACTGGGGAATTCTGCCAAACATTAAACAAGAAATGATACTATTCTATATAAATTCTCCCAAAAATGAAGAGACGGCAGTATTTCCCAAAACATTTTACAAGGCCAGTATTATCCTGATTCTAAAACTAGGCAAAAACATTATAGGAAAAGAAAACTACAGACTCATAGTGCTCATGAAAAGATGCAAAAATTCTTAACAAAAACTTAGCAAATTACCTAACAATATGTAGAAAGAATACAACATGACCAAGTGGGCTCTTTGTTTTTAATAAAAATGCAAGGTTGGTTTAACATTCATAAATCATTTCATAAAATTCATCATATCAATGAACTAAAGAAGAAATATGATCATCTTAAAAAATACAGAAAAGGCATTTAACAAAACCCCAATATTGCTTCAGACAAAACTTTTCAGCAAGCTGGGTTAGAGAAAGAAATGTCCTCCATTTGACAAAGGCCATCTGTGAGGAACCTAGAGCCACCACAGCTAATACAAAAAGACAAGGGTGTCCTCTCTTGGCCCTTCTATTAAACATTGTGCCAGAGGTTCTAGTCAGTACAGTAAGTCGGGGAAAAGAAAAGGCATTCAGACTAGAAAGGAACAAGTAAAACCGTCATTATTGATGACGGCATGATTCCCTAATGCAGAAATTCGGATGGAATCTACAAAAAAGCTACTAGAACTATTAAGTTGGTTTAGCAAGTTTGTGGAATATACAAAATTAATTATATTTCCACATATTAGTATTAACAACTCAGAAACTGAGTTTAAAATGCCACGTTATACAGCATGGAAACTTAAAACGGCTTAGGCATAAATCCAGCCCAAGGTGTGTAAGGCCCATACACTGAAACCTGGAAAATAGTGCTGAGAAACTAATGAAGTCCCAGATTTGTAGAATGCTGTATTGTTTTCATGAGTTAAAAGACTAAAAATGCTAAGATGTTAACTGCCCAACATGTTTTATCTACATTTCTATGTAATTCCAATCAGAATTTTTTAGGTTTTTTTCTTTTTTTGGTAAAAATGGACGCGCCAATTCTAAAATTCCTATGGAAATTTCCTATGGAAATTCCTATGGAAAAGACCTACTGTTGTGCAACAATACACATTTAAAGTCTTGTGCTGTGCTAATTATGCCTTTTACTTCCTAGAACCCATTTCAATACATAACACGGCCTCTTTTTAGAACTTTAATTACCGTATTTTTCAGACTATAAGACGCACACTCCGCCCTGCCCCCCAATTTGGGAGGAATAATGGTTGTTAATGCTGCTGTCGAGTTACATTTACATTGGTGAAGTAGTATGTCATTAAATATTTTGCCACATTTTTTGCTTCAATTTTTTTTTTCTATTTTCCTCCTCTAAAACCTAGGTGTGTCTTATGGTCTGAAAAATACGGTATTTTGCTAATGGCAGATAAAGCATCAAATAATGTAGTCACCAAGAGTATTTATATTGTTGGTAGAATTATAAGTGACTCCTTCATTTTACTTTTCAAATCTTCTATAATGTGATGTTATTTTAAAAAGTTACAAGGATGTCCACCTCTGGCCCATGATAAAAGATGCCAGCCGCATCCCGTAGTACTCTTCTTACACCAAAAGAGGGCACTAACACATCCAATGGTAATCTCGAGGTTAAGGAAAAAAGGTACTGACTGGTCCCTGCTATTTCAAGAGAAAACACAGCAAACCTTGCTGACTTTCTACCCATTGATTTTTGTTACTGAATTTTGCGAAAGCTCTTCATTTGACTCCAGCTTCAGCCATTTCCAAAGGTCAATTGTCCTCCCCACCCCCTTTTTAAGAGAAGGGGAGGGAGGGAGAATGAGGGAGAGAAACACTTATCAGCTGCCTTCTGCATTGGTCCCAAACAGGACTGAATCTGCAACCTAGGTATCAAACCAGTGACCTTTCAACCTTTGCGGATCAATGACCACCCAACTGAGCCACACCAGTCAGGGCCAAAGGTCAACGATCTTGAATCTACTCTCCCAAGTATAACCCCAATCTACTTGAGCTTGCATGTCATTAAAGTACAATATTTATTGTTTTTCCTTTGATGTAAAATTTACATACAATGAAATACACAATACACTCACTGAGTTTGAACACATGCATATATGAAGTTGGTCTAGAAGATATCCAGATATGCAACATGAAAAATAGAGACATTTATTAAAGAAGGTACAAGAAACATTGTATATAGGACAATGACACCTCAGTCCCCTTCAGAGTCGGCACCTTGGGACCTCACACAGTTCTCCCAATTGCTATCAGCTGCTCCATCCAATCTCATTGGGGGTTTGAAATCTCTGCCCTTTCAAAGGTGATTTTAGTTTTGGGAAAAAACAGAAGTTGCAGGGCGCCAAATCTGGGCTATAGGGAGGCTGAGTTACCTGAGTGATTTGATGGTTTTGGTAAAAAACTCCCCAAGCTATGACGCATGAGTTGTGATGAAGGTGACAATCACCAGTTGCCCATAGCAACTGAAGCCTTCTGAGTCATCCACATAGTTTTCACAGAGGACTGTTGAAGCTCAACACCAAATGCGATGCAGATTCGTTGCTCTACTGGCTCAGTCATTTTGAATGCAATGGCCACGCAGTACATGTACATGCTCACTCAATGGCGTCTACCACCCCCACTGACTAGTAGAGTGAAGTCATCATTGTTCACGCATGCACACTCCAGTCCACTCTCCTTGGCTGCCAAGTTACATAGATGCCATGCAAACTGTCCTCATTATATTAACAGCTGGATTTTTTTTGGACAGATCCTGTACCTATGTAACCCTATCAAGCTAGAGAACATAACCATCGCCACCAAAAGTTTCACATTCCTCTCCAGTCAATACCCAAGAAGTAACCACTGCTCTGATTCCTTTCTCTGCACTGAAGTTTTTGCTTATTCTAGAATTTCACTTAAATGGAATCATTCAGTGTAAATTATTTTTGCACTGTTTCATTAACTTGGCACAATTTCTGAGCCATCCACATTTCTGCAAGATAACTAGCTATACCACATGTTAGATATGGTAGACAACAGGATGTTTCCAGCTTTGAGCTATTGATGACCAAAATGGCTATGAACACATGTATGTCTTTGTATGAACATGTTTTTATTTCTCGACAGCAGAACTGCTGGGTCATGGGGTCAATTATCTTTAGAAAAAAACCCAAACAACCTTTCTCCAAAGTATTTGTGCTATTTTATTCTACATTCTTACCAGCAGTTTAATTTTAGCTGTTCCACAACCTCGTCAGCATTAGGTGTTGTCAGTCTTTAGTTTTGGCCATTCAGGTGGATGTGTAGTGTCCTATTATTTTGATTTTAACTATGTGAAGATTCATGGTGTTGAATACATTCTCACTGGATTCTTGGTCATTTGTGTATCTTCTTATGAGAGGTGTCAGAATCTTTTCTGCCCACTTTCTTTTATTGTGTTGTTTGTCCTTTTACTGTTAGGACGTAGTTTTTATTACTTTTTAGATATTAATCCTTTATCAGATAATGTTTTGTAAATATTGTACTTCTTCCTAGGCAATGGCTTGCCTATTAGTGGTGTCTTTTAATGAGGAAGTTTCAGTTCTGATTAAGTCTAATTTATTGATTTATTTCATGCCTAGTACATTCTGTGATCTAAAAAATCTTTGCCTACCCCCAAATCATGAAGATATTTTCCTATACTTTCTTCTGAAATTTTATGATTTTTACCCTGGCTGGTATAGCTCAGTGGACTAAGCCCCTGAACCAAAGAGTCACCGGTTTGATCCCTGGTCAGGGTACATGCCTAGGTTGCAGCCAGGTCCCCAGTAGGGGGCACGTGAGAGGCAACCACACATTGATGTTTCTCTCTCTTTCTACCTCCCTTCTCCTCTGCCTAAAAATAAATAAATAAATAAATAAACAAATAAATAAAATCTTCAGCGCGCGTGCACACGCACACACACACACACACACAGAGACAGTCACCTACAAAGGAGTTCCCTTCAGACTGTCAGCTGATTTCTCAAAAGAGACCTTACAGGCAAGAAGGGGCTGGAAAGAAGTATTCCAAGTCATGAAATCCAAAGACCTACATCCAAGATTGCTCTATCCAGCAAAGCTTTCACTTAGAATGAAAGGACAGATAAAGTGCTTCTCAGATAAGATCAAATTCAAGGGAGTTCATCATCACCAAGCCCTTATTATATGAAATGTTCAAGGGCCTTATCTAAGAATAAGATAAAAAACATGTATACTAAAATGACAGCAAACTCACAATTACTAACATCCACACCTAAAATAAAAACAAACTAAGGAAACAACTAGAACAGGAACAGAACCACAGAAATGGAGATCACATGGAGGGTTAGCAACGAGGAAGTGGGAGGAGAAGGGGAAAGGTACAGAGAATAAGTAGCAGAGACGGTAGGTAGAAAATAGACAGGGGGGAGGGCAAGAATAGTATGGGAAATATAGAAGCCAAAGAACTTAAGACACATGGACATGAACTAAAGGGGGGAATGTGGGAGGAAGAGAGTGTGCAGGGTGGAGGGGAATAAAGGGGGAAATGGGACACTGCATTAACAATCAATAAAACATATTTTAAAAAACCACATGCACGAAACAAGTTTGTACTCCTGGAACAAACTCCACTTAGCCATGACACATTAACCTTTTGATATATTGTTGATTTGCTAATATTTTGTTAAGAATTTTTCATCTTAGCATGTTCATGAAGGGTATTAGTCTATAATTTTCTTTTTGTAATGTCTTTGTCCAGTTTTGGTGTTACTATCTACTAGTGTATTAGTTGTAAAATTTTCTCTCCTTTTTCCTTAAATGCCTGGAAGATTCTCCTAGTCAAACTTCTGGGCCAGGCCATTTTTTTTAGTAAGATTTTTGATAACAAATTTAATGGAAATTGTGTCAGCTTTGGTAAGTTGTATTCTTTTCAAGAAATTTGTCCATTTCATCTAAATTGATAAATCTGTTGGCATAAAACTATTCATAATAGCCTATTATCCTTTTAATATCTATAGGATCTAAGTGATAACCCCTTTTTTGTGCTTGATATTGTAATCTGCTTTTTTTTTGATTAATCAAGAAATCAACTTTGTTGATCTTTTCCAAAACCAAATTTTGGAATTGCTTTGTTTTTCATTCCACTGATTCCTATTCTTACCTTTGTAATTTCCTTCTACTTACTTTGCTCTTTTTTTTTTTAGCTTTTTAAGTTGAAACCTTAGATCTTTGGATTATTTTTCTTTTCTAACCTACGTATTTAGAGCTGTAAGTTTCCCGTTTCCCTTTCAGCACTCTGTTCCTCAAGATTGACATATTGTATTTCAATGTCATTCCATTCAAAACATTAAAATTTTTTTCTTGTGATTTCATTAAACTATAGATTATGTAAAAGTACCTTTGCTTAAGTTTCAAATATTTGGGAATTTACCTAGGTATCTTATTTTCCTTGTTTTAAAGTTTAATTTCATTGTGATCTTAGAACATATTTTGTGTTATAGTATTCCTTTAAAATTTACTGATTTAAGTTTAAATTTAAATGGTTTGTGGCCTGGCATATCGTCATACTGGGGAGCATACAGTCTGTACACTTGGAAAAGAACTAGAGACTGACAGATTTTACTGAAGTGGTTCATATTTTAAAACATTTACTCAAAGTAAGACAATTTAAAAAGGGTTTCAATTCTGAAACCACAAAGGAAGACCTGTCAGCTTCTTGGTCTAATCACGCTCGTCTTCCTTAATTATCATCTAAAAGTACGTACTAATCATAGAATTTGGTCAGTGACAAATATTCTAAACTTCCGCAGCCCTTTCTACCTCTCTCAGTAGGTTAAACAACTCAGTTGAGAATTACTAATTAGTATCTACCCAGAACTTTATTTACTACAACACTATAAAGCAGGGCAACACAATTACCACCACATTAACAAAGGAATCTGCTGAACCAGTCAGGCTAGTTGTCTGAGGTCACACGAAAGCAGGAACTTGCCAGAATTAGACAGTGGAGTTCTTGTGGCCTAATTCCCACACGCCTCGGCACTCCAAAGAGCTGCTTGTAAGAGTTATAGCAACTGACGATGAAACCTAAGATATACCAGAGTCAGAGGATCCTGTTATTGAAATGATATTAAAGATGATCTAACGCAACATCCTCACTTTATAGATAAGGAAATCAAATCCTCAAAAGGGGACGTGACCGAACTGCTCAATGTCACACTTCTAGACACAGTAAGGCAACCACGAGAATTTAGCACTCCTAAATCCGAGCTCAATAATGTTCAATTACTATGGAATAACCAGTATCCTTTACTACCATTTTAAATCTTTGAGTTTATAAAAAAAGTCTTGATGTTGCCACTGATAATTATTAACAATTCATCCACTAATAACAATTAACAAATAATTATCCAGCCAGGGTCTATACTTGCTAAATAAATAAATATTTAAATATGTTCAAGGCACTGCATTGCCTGCATTTTCATATTTAATTCTCACAATACTATTATAAATCTCTCTCTATTTTAAGGATTACAATCTAGGAAGATCGACTTATCTGCCCACGGTCCGTAGTCAGGAAATGCCTTTATAAGAGGTAAACAGTGCCCTTCGGCCACAGCAGCCACTGAAGAGGAGCAGCCCTCAACAAGGGCCACAGGTGACCAAGAGTGTCAGGACGCTGAGGCACCGCCAGGGACGCAGGCGCCTCACCAAGCACAGTGGGTGAGTGCACGTTAGCGAGGGGCAAGGCCCAAGAGGTGTCTCATTCGCTCGGTTTGAGGGCGCCCCCCCCCCCAGGAGTGTAGCACCGCTCTGGCTGCAGTGAGGAGGGGGCCAGCAGTGAGGCCTGAGCCCCTCCGTGCAGAATGACACCTCCCAGGAAAAGAGGTACGCGGTCTGACCACACCGGTAAGTTTGCAACAACAAATATATCATTTGTGTTTTAATTATTCAACTCCCCACATTTCAAAGAATATTTGAAATTATTTTTCAAATAATTTCATTTGAAAAAGAGATCTACTGTCAAACAAGTCTGGAAAACCACAGATCCCCACAGAGCACCTGCCATGACCATAAAGTCAGTACAGAACTTGGCATCAGAGCGGAGGCTGACAACCCCTTTTGGAAGGCCGTGAGTATCCCTTATCTCTCGCACTTTCCGAAACCCCAGAACAGACAGCATTTGAGGTAATTTAATTGAAGGCCAATGGCACTTGATCTTAGCCAAGAGGCCAAGAAGCGATGAAGGCCAATTGCTAGAAAAGTAATCATTCAAATAAACAGAAGGTAAGAAAAGGGCTTCCAGTACCATAGAATGAGTTTGGCCTGAAGAATATTAAATAAGGTCTAAAGAAGAACGCGTGAGGTCTCTTAAGTATTACTCACAAAATAGCATTGCAATACAGGTTACCTCCTTTCACAGCATGATATCTCTACGGTATAAGATCAAATTAATTAAAAGTTCCATTTACTGTCCCAGCAGGAATGCCTTTATCTTTGATTGCTAAGTAGATTTCACAAGGCCCCTAACAAAAAACCCAAGCGTGAAGGAAGTAGCATACTATTTTGGAGACTTAAAAATAAGCTTTGTAAATAAGTAATTATGAGCCTAATGACACTGTTACAAGTAGCATTCACCCTCGGGTCAACCTATAAGAACAACACAGAAAAAACTGGAGCATAAAAAATTTTTAGGACAGTATTAATTTTAACAAGTGGCTTACTGCTTTGGGAAATGTTTGTGTAAGAAAACCAAACCAAGCAACCACTGACAAAAATCTACCTCCCCCCAGTGTGCAGTGTGAACGGTTACCTGTGGAGTCTGCCAGAAGTCCTGCTAGGACACGCCTGTTTACCAGTTCGGTCTCGCTAAGGCTGGAAACAACATCTACACTAGTGGCTTCTTTGGTAATAGTGGGCTTTCTGAAAACCGCAAGATCAGGTCCCTTGACATCTGCGTGTTCTTGGACATCACGTGACCTCTGTGGCTGAGAAGATTGTGGAGCAAATGTGAAAGTCTGCTTGAGTGTTTCTTCAGAAGGAGAGTCCACTTCGCCCCGTGCAGGAGCGGACTTCTCAGTCTGCCTCTCACTCAGTTCTTTGAGGGCTCTGATTGTGAGCCGTTCCTGTTCCAAGTCAAGAGATGCTACTGAAGCACCTTGGGTAGGAAAAGCATCCAGAAGCTCACTTCCACGGATTCCTCTGTTTTGTTGAGAGTATTCGCTTTTTATGTCTTTAATGTCAGAACCGCCTGGCCCACGTTCATACAAGATGTCTACAGGAAGAGCGGTTTGGAAGTCCGCAGCCTTCTCTGATATTGCTTCAAATGCATTTCCTTCACTTTTATCTACTATTCCTTTCCCTCCGGTTTCTGTAAAGGCTGTTATCAGGTCCTCTGGGGAAGAATCATCTACATCTTTAATACTTCTTTCATGTAATGACTCCAAATGGGCAGAGGCTATCACGTTTGGTGAGAAATCTGTCTCAGGAACATGTGAAAGTGCTGCTGAAGGAAGTCCGGGGCCCTCGGTCGTGGCAGCCTTTTCAGGAATACCAGCACTCACCCCATCTGACTGTTTCACATGTCCTGACATGACATTCGTATCAGGTGCCTGGGAGCCTGCTGCCATGCCAGCTGGACTCCTTGCAAGAATATCAGGCTTAATTTGTGGCTCAGAGTCACTGACTGACCCCTCAAAGTTTTCAGATGTTTTGGTTTCCCTGTTATAATTGAGAATCTCTTTGATTTCTTTTTCATCTGCTTTTACGACAGCACTTGGACTGGAAACAGGTTTTTTAGCCTGAATTTTGTTACTTTCAAATGAAATACTGGCTGTGATGTCCTCTATCACTGTGTCATCAGACTCACCAGAACTATCAGCCTCTGTCACTTCTCCCAACATAGAGCTCTGCCAGTTCATTTCACCTTTCAGGTGGCCATCAGGTAAAACCACTTTTACTGTGGCCGTGCCAGAACCCGGAGAGACACATTTCTCCAGCGGAGATCCAGGTACCTCTGAAAGCGTGTCACCTTGTTTCTGCACGTTGCCTTGCACACCTTTGACACTGGCGTCTGGTGTGGAATCAAGATAGTCTGGGATAGGTTTTTCAATGGCAGCATTTTCTTGTGGGAGAGATGCTTCTGCCCAGTGACCAGTCAATTTAGCCACGGGTGTGCTCCCATTAATAGAACATACAGGAATTTTCTGATGAGTGTTAGTTTTAAGATTTACAACAGGAATTTCTGAATTATATTTGCTCGTGTCAAGTCCTGTAGTTTTTGTGATGTAGTCGGCTTTTTCGTTCTGCTGCTTCACGTGGGGAACGAAGTCCCAAGTCAGTACCTCATTGGTAAAGTTGTGCATATCGCTGACACACCTGGACACCTCTTCCAGAGCTGCAGTCGTGTGCGAAAACTGCCTAGTGAGCAAGGCAGAGGTTGGGAAACGCCCTGCCTCTTTATTTCTTAGTGGAAATACTTTGTCATTAGACTCTGAAATGTCTGCAGATGATTCTCGATCAGTGTGCACTGCCCAGCTACCCAAATAATTGGCACTCTCCTTATATGCGTCTTTATATTCTTTGTCAAATGCTGCTCTGTCAATAATTACTTCGAATGGTGATTCAGGGGAATCCTTCTCAATACCACTACCGCCTGACACTTTGGATGGGGACAAGGAGTATGTACCAGTGCCTCCTGCCCTAGACTGCTCAGTGGCTGGCTTCTGGGCTGTCGGCAAAGTAAACTTGTCGTTGGCATCTAAGACTGTTTTGTCATTCCCACTTGGTGTCTCACTGGGGTTCCTGGATCCTTGGTCTTCATTTCTCTGGTCCTCCACTTGAACAGCGTCCTCCGAGAGAAAAGCAGGATGACCTGGGACACTGGCTGGAATGGAAGGGTGGTGACAGCAACCTCCTTCCCCAACAGGAACTGGGCAGTTGGCTCCATCTTTACTGGTCCCCTGAGGCTCTTGCACCTTTGTCACATCTAGACGAGCCAAGCAGTCTTGTCCTTCTTTGGCTAAAACAGAATGGCTGCCTAACACGTGGCTTTGTTCTCCACGTAGTGTTGCAAGGTCAGTTTTACGTACTTCAGAAGATGAAAGAGAGGAGGAAGTCAAAATTTCTGAAGCTGGCTCACCAGAGCAAAGAGAGCTCATTCCCGCTATGGTTAGAATTTGAAAGAAAAAAACTGTTTACCAGGTACAACTGCACATTAGCTGGTCAGGCCAAGCAGCATGCTTTTTGTTTTTAAAATTACATATATACACAGAGGATGTATATATATACACACACAAACATGAAACTACTCAGTGCCAACAGTTATCCTATAGACATGCACAAAATTGCCACAGGTGAACAGAAAAGCCACATCATGCTCCAAACTGCAAATAATGAAAAAGGTTTTTTCATGACAAGTTTCAGTCGACTTTTTCCACTGTAAAGGTAAAGCATAAAGATGAGAAGATACTGGGAAGTCTGGGGAAGTTTTCCCCTTTGTTTTGGTACAGGTATCTAACAGAAACAGCCCAATCCACACAAAACAAGCACCCTGATATTATGAAGCACCGATAAGCTCTCATCTGAACAACTTAGAACGTGCCGCTTCTATAAATCTGCTATTATAGTCTGAGAGCCTGAGAAGAAAAACTAGTGACCAGAGTGCCTTCTGATTTTCGGGAGATACAGCAGATCCCTCCTAAGCCTAAAAATCAGGCGAGAATTATTCTGTTCTAACTACTAGGAAGACTAAGCCTATGTACGGATGGCCAAGGGTTAAACTGAAGGCACTGAGAAAGCTGGCCTGCTCCAAACTCTCTTGCACCAACTTGCCAATTTAACCAAACTGAATCATGCAAATTGGTTTCTTAGGTTAAGAAGAGTTAACTCCAGAAATTCTTTTAAAACAGAAAATAACCCTGGCTGGTGTAGCTCAGTGGACTGAGTGCAGGCTTCGAACCAAAGAGTTGCCCGTCAGGGCACATGCCTGGGTTGTGGGCCAGGTTCCCAGTGGGGGCCATGTGAGAGGCGACCACACATTGATGTTTCTCTCCCTCTTTCTCTGAAAAATAAATAAATAAAATAAAATAAAATAAAATAAATCCTTTTAAAAAGTATAAGTTAAGGCTTATCAGTTATTAATACCACAGTACCCACTGATTTACACAATGTTTTCTAACTTTCCAACCTAACAAGTTTTTACTGGGAAAAAGATCAAAACAACTGTTCCAAGGGCAGGCGCTATCTTGGTACTGCCCTCCTTCCATACTGCTGTATCTCTGCAGTTGGGACAAAGAAGGTCTTCATCGTTCCATATGAATGATTCAGGTCCGACAGGTGAGACCTAAGTAGATTCTGGACAGCAATGCCTTCCTCGGGAAGATGTAAAAGAGAAAGCTTCTGGGATTATCCTTATTCAGCTTACCTTCTTATGTGAGAAGCTAAGTGATAATTAGACAAAAGAAAAATTGTGACTTTATTCAAAGTCATTTTATAAACATGACTAGTGAGTCAAAATGTTTGAAGCAAGCCGTAATTCATCCGTAGTTCCAATGTAGTAAACACGGTCACATCTATCACTGTATAGTATGACTGTTCATCTTACAGGCCAAAGTGGGCAAATGAATCAGTAACAATTCAACAATTATTTATTAAATGCCTATCCTGTGCCAGACACTGTTTCAGAAACTAGGCTAAAGGCAGTTGAACAAAAGAGAAAATATCCTTGCCTTTGTGAAGCTCACAATACACAGCAGGAGACAGGCAATGAGCAAAACCAGTAAGTAAAATGGGGATGATTCGGTGGTGGGCCTGATGAAATGAAGAAAGAAAGCAACCGAGGCTGACTGCTGACCAGAGGACACCACCTTGTGTGTGCGTGCTGGGGGGGCGGTGATGGGAAGCATGGTAGAGACATTCCATGCTTTGTCAGCTTCCCCAGTCTTGCTGTTCTTCTGTTTTTGAATCCTTAATACTCCAAATGTTTTGAGTGAGATGTATAATAATCTGAGGTGAAGCCAGAAGATTAGGTCAGAGATCTTATTCTTGCAATACCAATAAGCCTTATACTGAATGCCATGACTACCTTACAGACTACTAAAGATTCTGTAATATGATAATTATAATTATATATATAAAATAACTTTATCATGTTTCCCAACAACTTTGTGACTTAATATCTGGGCTGGTAGTGTTTTCTGGGGGGCGAGCTTGGGGAGTAAGCAGAGTACGTGGCTGCAATAACTTCTCAGTGATTGTGAGCTGCAAGTGCTAGCTCTCGTGACTGTCAATCAAGCTTTCCCACAGGTAGCAAAATGTCATCTGTGGTTTAATTATCTTGTTTAGAATTTCAGCAAATGAAAAGATGAAAGTTTCCTTGGCTAGTTATAACTCTTAAAAAACTTGGACAGACCTGACTTGTACCAAGACAAAGGAAAAACTGGGCTGGAAGCAGTTTATAAAGGGATGAAAACATTAAACAGAACAAACATCAAAATCTAATAGGCCTTTTAGAGCAGTTCCTAGGAGCAAGGACTCTCCCAATTTGTCAGTAAGTCATTGGTGTTGTCCAAGCCTGTGCCTGGTAAAATGGCAGAAAACTCCAGGGAGTTTGAAGATTCCTAGTTTTTAAAATACCGTACACTGGCCCTGGCTGGTGTGGCTCAGTGGATTGAGTGCCAGCGTGTGAACCAAAGATCTCTGATGTGATTCCCTGTCAGGGCACATGCTTGGGTTGCAGACGAGGTTGAGTTCCCAGTAGGGGGCGTGCAAGAGGCAACCACACATTGATGTTTCTCTCCCTCTTTCTCCTTCTCCTAGCTATAAAAATAAATAAGTAAAATCTTAAAAAATGAAAAAAACAAAAACAAAAACCCTGTACACTGTAAGACTGGCTAATGAAATAATTATGGATTATCTCACATCTCAGAAAGTGTTCCCTACCCTTTTCTCTTTCAAAAGACTCAGCCTTTCATAAGCAATACAAGAGACTTTCGATACCGCTCAAAAACAAATGTCTGTCAGAAAATTCCCCCACCATGAACATCAGCTAGTTATTTCATGCGCACATTCATTTTCAAGAATCTGAATCACTTAAAAATATGGCATTCCTCTACTAACAAACAACACACCTACCAGAAGGGAATCAACACGTGGTAAGAAGGAAACATGTCACAACCCTACAATGATCGCAGAATGTCCCCAAATCTATCTAGTGCTGAGCTCCTTGCTTATCCTTATCTTCTTAAACTCTAAATTCTTTTAAGTCTCCATTGAAGTTTATTTTCTGAAATAAGACTAGGAAATTAAATTGTCAGTTTTATTCTAAATTTCCAGATAATTCCCAAACCAAAAATTCCAATTAAAAGATGCAAAATCTTTTCATAATACTTACTAATCGTGTGGCCCTGGCAAGTTGCTCAGTCTCATCTAAAAAATGGGGACACCAAAGCACCTGACTTGAGAACTGCTGTGAGTTAGTACATGCAAAGTGCTCGGAACAGTAATTGGCACTGAGCAAATTCTCAGTAAGTATCCCCGAACAACGCATTTTTAGTATATATGTGTGTGTGTGTGTGTGTGTATATATATATTTCCTGATATAGAGACTCCAGATCATCTGCCCTTTTATTAGGGGAGAAAAAAAAAGACACTGAATCATAACCACCTTCACCTGGTATATAAGAGAAAATCTTCATTCAGAATTTTAGACAATTTCCCCCCTATCATTCACAAATAAAAGGAAGGAGCTAAAGAGCTTTTATCTATTTCAAAATTTTGGGTGATACAACTTCTAAATCAGTTAGTACAAACCAAATGCCTATGATAACCTGAGAACTGTGCTAGGTCCTAAGAACCTATCTTTATGTGGATAAAGACATTTATGACAGCCCATATGAAAAAAACTATAAGCCAATGTTGAAAAGATAAAAGTTTCCTGAACAAAATGTTTCAGCAGATGATCTTTATTACCATCAAGGTCCAAGTACATGTTAGTTCAGTGTCTGACTAGCTGAACGATTTAGTAACCTAGCACAAAAACAGTCTTCAGCACCCTCTTTTACAGTCCACGCCTGGTTCTTCACAGGCTTTATCTCCGACTCACTGACTCACAATTTCCAGAGGATAAAGCTCAGGAGACTCTGCAGGACAAGTTTCCCAGGCAATGAACCTGGCCCAGGAACCGCACCTTGACTTACTTCATCAGTTCTGGAAGAGCAGAGTGAGCTGCACTGTGACATCCCTCAGGTGCCACGGCCACTGCATGCTGACTCCCCCCAGACCTCTCTGTCCTGGAGCACGACTGGCAGTCAGCAGGGGATGGGGCAGCAGTGGCCCTTTGTGCCAGCTTTAGACACAAATGCTGATTCTGAAGTACTGTAACTTGAAATTTTGAGTGGAATAAGGAAAAGCTGCATTTGGCTAGACCACATGGTGTGGAACTGAAGAATTTTCCCTCTTCCACACCCTTAGTATTTCATCTTACAGAACAAGGTGGGGAGTTAAAAATGACAACATGAAAAAACAACTTCCAAGTGAATGCTCTGTACACATCAAGTAAATATACACAAACTGAAAAGGAAAATACACGCCTGTGCTTCAACATATCTTCTCTTTACTGTCTGTTACTCCCCAAACTGTCCTTTAGTTCTTCCTAAGTGGACAGCTTAGAAATCTGTTACCATTTGGTAACTGGTTGCTCACCCCACCCCCACCTCTCTTAGGCATTCATTACTTTTAATTGAAAGGATACCTGTAACATGGAAAAACCATACACGTCAGTGAACGAAGACTGCCAGCCTGACGGCAGCAGCCACTGACTTACTTTTGCACATACACACTATGTATATTCATACCAGGTAGGCTTGAAATATTCAGGTATAGGTTTTCCTACACTTGAATTTTCTCATGTTCACAAAACAATAAAGACAAATTTTCGTGCAAAACGACATCAGCAACTTTCAGCCACAGCATCAAAATAGGAAGTTAGCCAGCAGACACTTTGCAGCCAAGCTAGACCTTAAACAAAAAGTCTCTTTTGTACAAAGAAAAATGTTTTGCTTGTTTTTTTTTTTTTTAAAAAAAGGCTGTAACTGGCAAGAGCTTTTTCCTCAATGCTTGCCCCAAAGTTCAGTGTTTAACTTCCTATTCCAGATGCCTACTGCATCACTCAAATTTAGCACAAATGTTGACTACTGAAAATGCGCTTCCAATTCTACATGGTTTATAGATCCTCTCCAATTTTATTCTCACCTACTTTTCTTTCCAATATTTTCAGTTTGATTTTGTGTTTGATGGAAGAAATACATCCCTCGAACAATACTAAATTGTAAAACTAATAGTGAAGATATGGTTAAAAGAGTAACTTCTCCTTTCAGCTCTCATGATTTTAACATGTGATTTTAACATTAACCTCAAAATGACATCTCTAAAAAGACCTGTAAACCCTAAAATGCAACTGATGATACACTTTATCATCTTTACAGTAGGCAGTGGCCATGGGCTGTTAAGTCCCAGGTGTGTCACACATAGTGTGACCGGAAGTAAGTTATTATTTTACCTTTTAAACCCTGGTTTCCTCAATCGGTAAAAGAGCTGGAAGCTTTCCTGCACCAAACTGGCTACGAAGTCCAGATGAGATGATTCACACAAGGTGCCGCACACCGCGCAGGCGCACTGAGGTCGCCGCACACCACACCTACACCTGTCAGTATCTGTACTGCACAGCACCGGACAACGTTACTAAAATTTACTCTATTTGGAAGTGCTCAGGGTTAGGCTGAAATTTAACTCTTTAATGAGAAAAAAGGAATCAATAAGCCAAAGATATACTCTGGAGTAAGAACTGATTATTCCATTGACATTCTCATGACAAATCTATTCATCAGCTTTCAAAAAGTTTAAACTGCTAGCTTAAGTAGTCATGTACCTCAAAATAGTACAATTTAATAAATATTATATAATTTATTTTTGAAGTATGTAACTGCCTTTGTTTACTCAGCCTAAGTAAGTTTTTGGTACATGCATCTCACTGAAGCTCCATAATGATAAGTATATATTTCAGGATTAAAGATGTTGTTCTTAAATATGAAAATGTCTCATTTAACTATGGCTACATATTGCTTAATATGGCTTAGATACATACAAAAATGAGGCACAATTCTCCAAGGTATGACGCTAAGGGATATGCAGCCAGAGACAGGTTAGTTGGGGCGGTGCCAGCCAGTGATGGACTGACTCAAGGTGCCTGCTGGTGGCGGCAGCCACTCTGAAAGGCCTGCGTGGGGCAGGACTGGTCTCAGCTATTCTCCCCGGAGTTCTACTGTAGTTCATCAAGCACACCGACAACTTCCTCTTCTCTTATTTTTATTAAGGCAGAGCAGAAGCACCAGTCTTGGCTACCTTGGAACACACCTAATCACGTGCCAAGGTGTCACTGCAAACAACTGAGCAGGCTGATCGTTAGACCTGCCCACGAGGCAGAGCACCAACAGGCAGAGCACCAACGGGGTAACTTTTCCACTGTGTGTGTGTGTGTGTGTGTTTGTTTTGCAGCAGGAAATGCCATAATAGAGGCTAGACTGAAACACCTTCAGATACAGGACATTTTTAACCACCTCTTTACCACACAGTTTTAGCAGTAACACTATCCTGGTCAAAATAACTCTTTCCACAAGAGCTAAAAGAATGACACATTTATCTTCTTTTACAAACTCTCATACTCACTGTAAACTTAAGTCTACTCAAACATCAGTTTTTAACTTAAAAAATCCTTTTTATTGACTTCCATTCTATGTCAGTGTAGGTGTAATTTTGCCTAACAAGGATTAAAACAGTTTTTAAAGCTACGGTGGTTATCTTCTCCACATTCCATATGTTAGGGATGCGCTGGGCTGCACTGTCACACTTGTAGGGTATCGATTACCCTTCTATAATAAAAAGTGAAAATCGTTAACTATGAAGGACGGATTTTAAAATGTCTGAAATATTTACAGTGGAGAAGTATAATAATTATTTGTTCTACTTACATTGTGTTGTTACTGGTTTATTTTCCAGAGTGGAATCAATGTAATATTTATTTACCTGAATTATTAAAATTTCTAATGAGGGGAAAAAAACCATTAAAAATATCATTCTGGTTGGGTTCCAGATGTCAAGAAGCACTCTGCAGGTTTGAGTTACTTGTTAACATTCACAAAATATTTATCTTTTAATGTGAACACATTAATTTCAAAGGTCACGATTTGACCCATAAGATGCCAAACTCACATAGTGAGGCCCATTATACAGGTTGGGGGCTCTCATGTTAGCGACCTGAATTAAAAGCAACAAATTATCTGCCATGCTTCCTAAGAAGCAGATTAAACCTAGAAAAAAATTTACTAAATTAATTTTAACCCACTATGTTTTTATTCTTATAAGGTCAAAGTCTTCCTAACAAACAAGTGTCCAGACTTTGCATCTAGAGAATTTAGTGAGGACAATTAACTGTTTGCACAGGGTTTCTTGGGCCTGTCTAGTGAGTTTAGGTACCTTTTTAAAATAAGGGTTTCCCACTGACCTATATTTGGTGCCAACACAACGGCACAGGCGAAACAGCGCTTTGTCATCAGTGCGGACCGACAAAGCACGCAGCGCTCTCTCTCCTGGCTTCTTGGCAGCGCTAGTCCCTTCACAAACCTACAGGAGGTAACACAGTCCCTCCCTCACTAGTTGGCAGATCTTAAAAACAAAACAAAAACAAAACCCCCAAACAACAAAGCCACAACATAATGTGTAGGCAAGTAAGTCTCAATTGCCAAAAATCAATTGCCTTGTTCAATGTTCCTTGGCAATTCAGAACTAGCCTAGCTCTTGGACGAATGAACCTCAGAGAAGTTCGCACTAAAAAACTCCAGCTAACGGAGTGTACTGGCTCAGTGGAAGCACACTTTTATAATTTTTCCAAATCCAGTACCTCCCCATCGCAGTTACATGAAGTTAAATGGATTCTGGGAGTGGGTTGTTTTCTGAGCCACAATTCTATCTGTTCCAAGTTCTGTGGGAGAGTTTTGGGTTCAAGAAATACTCAAAACCACATCTCAGTTCAAGCTTATGCTATGTTGAAGGGTCCACCTAGCCTCGTTCTACTTTATTAACCTTTATAGGAAATCCACTGGAAACTGCTAAATAATATAAAGGACTGGCTTTCATTAGTTTTTATGGAAAGGGATTTGGGGGCAACGGAAAACCTGTGCCTTACATCCCCAGTTACAGCCTCTTTCTCAACATTTTTCTTTCCTTAATGCACACACACAAAACGACAGACTTGCCTTGTGAGGTCGAAAATAGAGACACAGGCTGAGAGGAAGAGGAAGAAACAAAGGAATCTGAAAGAAAATATACAGCGTGAGAATTTGACAACCTCACAAAGAAATTTTAACTTTTATTTTATTTTGGCCAAGCATCAAAATTTCATTGGGTTTAAGCAAGAGGGGAAAACCCAAGTCTTTGTTTCCAGTTACTGTTTTCACTCACCTGCCAGCAAAACCTTACTTCATTCTGAGATGCATTTCTAAAAGTTAATCCATTTTGGGGGGAGGTGGAGTCCAACGGTCTCACCTTCACAGGAAGAAAAGAGGGACTCCTAACATTGTTCAACAATCAAGAAAGATGATGCTCCCCTGCAACTCTTCGTAGGAAAGGAAAAATAGGTATCTGATTATTAACTGATATTTGCTTTTAACCATTCTGAACTGCATTTAGTGGAGTCAGTCACTAAAATATAAGCATTTAAACATACAAAGCTGACAAATAGGCAAAGGTGACCCTGAATACTTAAAAAAACAACACAGTTCACAGGGAAAATAGGTTCACACGAGAATCTTCATCTTCTAAACTATACTCCTCTAACTTTGGAAACAGTAACATTTTAAAGGCATCTCCACCTTCCCCACACCCCGTGTACGTATTCTTTAACTTGGCAGTTATACTTCTGGGAATTTAACCTATAGATGTATTTGCATGTGTGTACAAAGCCATGTGTATGAGGATATTCATAAGAGCAATAATTGTAAGTACTAGAAATAATCTAAATGACCATCAACAGAAGACTAAATAATACTTGCTGTTATGAAAGAGAAAGATCCAGGTATAGACGTTGAAATATGTTAAGTTGATCCACGAAACTAAAAAGCAAAGGGCAGAGGTGCCTACAGTGGACCCCCATCTGTTAACTGGCAACAAAAAGGGACTAGCAAAAGGGACTTCGAGGTCTGGCATGGGAAGGAGATTTGTTTTTTACTACAAGGTTTGGCCCTTAAAAGAAGGGGGGCGGGCAAGAAAAAAGAAAAAAAGAAAAAAAAAAGCAGCTTGCCTGGTGTAGCTCAGTGGATTGAGCACAGGCTGCGAACCAAAGGGTTACAGGTTCTGTTCCCAGTCAGAGCACATGTCTGGGCTGTGGGCCAGGTCCCCAGTGGGGACCACACAAGAGGGAATCACACACTGACATTTCTCTCCCTCTCTTTCTTCCACTGTTCCCCTCTCTCTAAATATAAATAAATAAATAAATAAATAAATAAATAAAATCTTCAAAAAAAGTCAAAGAATATACACGACCTCTTCAGTAAAAATGAGGAAAAAATTAATGAACATAGCAGTGAAAAACAGAACCCTCTGAAAGTACGCCTAAATATACTAATCTTTACTTGTTAACTCCTCTTTTCTTGCAGTTATAAAAATGTTTTCAGAGTATTAGAAATATTAAAATGAGGAGACTGCTTTAAAGAAATGGGCCATAGCTGTACCAGCAAGTACTAATTTAAGAAAACTATTTAGTCAACAAAGATGAAGCATATTAGCTCCAAGGCAGAATTTACTGGACAACAGGCAGCAAATCAGTAACTCGAGACCAGAATTTAAAAAACCAAATGCTTTTTAACTATCTTAAAAATGTAATATTACATTTATTCCTACAAATGAAAAACTGTTCTTTCCTTTTTTAAGCAAGCATTTCTATCTATTTCTTTAATGTTTCCAGATGGGTTCATTCCTATATGCATTTTACCTTCAACATTATTATATGTTAACTAGTGAGTTTAAATCAGAATAAACTTGAAAAACCAAGTGCTAAGCCCAATGCCAAAAAATGATCCCATGAACGTGCCTTTTCGCCTCCACCTAACACCTTCTCCTAATGGAAAATTTCAACACACAGTTTTACGCACAGCATCTATTCTGATACAGAACACAGATAACCAGTTAACCATCTGCAACAACTCTGCACGAGGTCTTCTAACTTACAAAACCCCAATGTACTCATACCCCACATTTACACTACACAGAACTAAACCCAAGAAGAGTGACCTTAATTCTCAAATGCTATTCATCAAACCAAACATTATCTTCAAGGAGCCAGGCCCAGAAACAGTCACTGGGGTGAAACGCAGGAGAGAGGGCAACCCTGGTGGTAAAGCGGAACAAGGACGGGGAAGGCGCTGTGGAGGGAAGGAACCGCCGGCCAGATTCCAAATGGCTTCACGCGTCATGTAGTGAAGTTTGGATCACAGCCTGCGTGAAATGAGGAATCACTGAAAGTCTCACGGGAGTGACAACACGACACGTATTCTAAAAAGAACCCCAGCAGCAGTGCGGAGCGCGGACCTAACTGAAAAGCTACTGCGTCATCTTGGCAGGACAGGAGGGCATAAGGTAAGGTGGTGAGGATGGGAGTGAGAGGGCAGATTTGATGAGACAGAACACAGAACTAGGAATCGTACGGCGGAGACTGGGTAAGTAAAAGCCAAAGGGCTGAGTGACGAAATGAAATGCCACTGACTGGGCTAGGGAAGAAGGAATTCCTTACATTAGCTTTCACTAAAAAAATAAGTTGTCTAAGGCACTGCTAAGTGGAAACTGTACCGCCACGACAGGCTCAGGAGAGTGGAAAGGGCTGAAGGTCAATACCTGAGAGTTAACATTTAGCATAAACTGACACCACTGGAGTGAATGGACGTGTCCAGGGAGAATCAGGGGTTTTACAATGGAATCTTGAGATAGACCAATATTTAAAGAGGCACAAGAAAGAAGAACCAGTCGATTCAGGGGAAAATGGTATATAACTTGGAGAAAGAACACTTTAGAGAATGACTGACAGAGTCAAAAGCTGCCCTGGCTAGCGTGGTTCAGTGGACCGAGTGCCAGCCTGCAAACTTAGGGGTCACAGGTTCAGTTCCCAGTCAGGGCACATGCCTGGGTTCTGGGCCAGGTCCCCAGTAGGTGGGTATGTGAGATATAACCACACACTGATGTTTCTCTCCCTCCCTTTCTCTTTTCTGTTCCCCCCTCTCTAAAAATAAGTAAGTAAAGTCTTAAAAAAATAAAAAAACCAATGGTCAAGACTTTGAAATGGGTCAATGACATTAAGCCATCAAGTAATTTAGCACTGACGACTCTGTAGTCAGGGTGGTGGAGGGCGGGGCCAGACACTGAAGACAGAGGCGTGAATAAAACGCTTAAATGCCCCAACAGCAGGATGGGTGGTAAAGGAAGGGACTAAATACAATGCAGCAGTTAGCGGGAGAGGCAGAGTGGAAAGGAAGATTTTTAGGAATGAAAATGCCTTAAACATGTATTTTTAAAGATTTTATCTATTTATTTTTAGAGAGAGGGGAACAGAAAAGATAAAGGGAGGGAGAGAAACATCAATGTGTGGTTGCCTTGAACGCGCCCCCTACTGGGGACCTGGCCCACAACCCAGGCATGTGCCCTGACTGGGAACAGACCTGTAACCCTTTGGTTCGCAGGCTGGCACTCAATTCACAAAGCAACACCAGCCAGGGCTTTTTTTTTTTAAATTTTACTTTCTTGGCTTTAATGGAAGCAAATTCATTAGTATTTTTTTTCATCCATTGCTCCTGGATTTGAAATTTCTACTGAATTTACTGGGGTGATGTTTGTTAATAAAATGATATAGGTTTCAACAGACTATATATTTTAGACAGAGAAGCAAGTTACTTTCAGGAACAACTCTGTAGAATGACTTGTACATTTGAGCCTAAAGCTTTTTTGTGTATGTTAAGTTTCTACAGAGTATTAAAGCATCTTCTAAAACATAAGGAAAAGTGTTTAAAACTTTACCTAAAATTAACATAAAGGACAATTAGAAATTCATCAGCTCTTTTAGACATATTTTTAACATTAATATTCTAATATTTAAACAAATTATTTTTATAATTTACAGGTTTCCTTTCTGCTTTATAGCTAGGCCAAAAAAACGGGCAGTCTCTCCAGTCTTTCTCATGATCACAATTCTTGGCGACAACTTCCATCACCTCAGAAGCTGCTACCCTGAGTCAATCGGTGCCTCCTCCTCCAACAGATCTCCAGGGCTGGGCAGACCGATTTCCCCCAAACTTTATGCCATTTCTTACCGTTTGTGCTAACTAGGACCTCCATCGTATTAGTAAATAGAAGTAGTGAAAGGAGACCTCTCTGTGCCCCTCCCAATGTTTTATCTATTTCATGATGAAGGCTTTCTTTCTTTTAAAAAAACTTTTAGATTTGCAGAGAAGGCCCAAAGAAAGTAAAATGTTGCTTTACATCCGGCACTCAGTTTCTCCCAGTGTTAACCTGTCCCATCAGTATGATGGGACACTGGCCACAACGATACTGACACATCATTAATAACTAAGCCCCATACTTCATTCAGATTTCATTCTCTTTTCCCTAGCGCCCCTTTCCTGTCCCCAAGTCCCATCCAGGACACTACAGCACTTTCTCTTTTAATCCTTACCTGAGGACATTTTTTTTTATTGCTCTCAAGAGAGAGAAACATGATTCGAGAGAGAAGCATCCATTGGCCACCTCCTTCGGGCACATGACCGTGGATCACCCGGTGCCGGGACTGAACCCGCAACCCTGGCACTGCCCTGACCGAGAATCCAACCCACAACCCTCCTGTCACAGGCCACGCTCCAACCGACTGAGCCACACTGGCCAGGGCCCATGTCACATTTTGTAGTCTTTTTTTTAAAGATTTTATTTATTTATTATTAGAGGGGAAGGGAAGGAGAGAGGGAGAGAAACATCAATGTATGGTTGCCTTTCATGCATCCCCTGCTGGGAACTGGCCTGCAGGGAACCGGCCTGCAACCCATGTATGTGCCCTGACTGGGAACCGAACCGCGATTGTCTGGTTCGCAGGCCCGCGCTCAATCCACTGAGCTACACCAGCCAGGGCACATTTTGTAGTCTTGTTTCCTTAGCTTTCTTTGGGCTATGACAAACTTCTTATGCTTTTGATGATCTTGGCAATTCTAAGAAATACTTTTAAAGATATTTCACAGAATGTTCCTCAATTTGTGTTTATCTTAAGTTTCTCTCATAGTTAGACTGGAGATGGTTTTGGGGGAAGAACACTGCTTAGGCGAAGGGCCTTCTAGTATCTCATTAAAGTCTGTGCCATCACCCGACCCTTGCGGCTCAGTCGGTTGGGCACTGTCCAACAAACAAGTTCATCGTCGGATCGCCCAGGGGGTTCAGGCCTGGGGTGCGTACGGAAGGCAGCCACCCATGTTTCTCTCTCTCTTTCTCCCCACTTCCCTTCTTAAAAAAAAAAGTACATGCTAGCAATATGACTCACGACTGATGATGTTAACCTTGATCCCCTGGCTGAGCAACTCTGCCAGGTTCCTCCATGGTGTCACCGCTTCCTGCCATTCCATACTGTACTCATTGGAAGTAAGTCACTAAGCACTTCCCACGCTACATAAACTGGCAGGTTACTTTTTATTCATTTCTCTAGAGCTAACATAACTACAATAAAAAGAGACCAGTTATGGCCTTAGTTGAGTAGCTTGGTTGGTTAGAGCATTCTTTCGATACACCAAGGTTTGCAGGTTCAATCCCTAGTCAGGGCACATATAAGAATCAACCAATGAATGCGTAAATAAGTGAAATAACAAGCTGATACTTCTCTGGCAAATCAATCAATAAATACATTTTTAAAATGGATAAACTATAATGTTTTGGCCCTCTGGAACCAATAAATCTAGGTAAAATCTGGTATCTAGTTTTTAAAAATTCGATTTATTTGCTGCTGGAAATAAACTCTGAGCTGACTGGAAGTACCTTAGGATTAGGACCATCTTACACAAGGCACAGAACATTATGGCCGGCGCACAGCATTAACAGCAGGCACAGAGTACGGGGGCCCGCACATTACAGAGGCTGAAAAGAAACTGTAAGAGATTTTTAGTTAGTAGTTCCCTCCAGTATAAATCAAAATAAAGCTCTCTATGGAGATGCTCACTCTTCTGCTGCAACACTAGTTGGAGAGCTGTCTTTTGAACATTTATGGAATAGACGTATGTACAATCTAGGAGCAAGAACAAGCAGAATTCTTGTTGCAAAAGAAACGAGAAGGTCTAACAGAAACAAAATGGAGTGTGTATACAGGACATCGATTATAAGTATTTTAATAACCCAACTTTCAGATAGAAGCACTATGGTTATTTTTAGAAGTGTCTTAGCCATTTCTAAATGTACAAAATGTATTAAATCAAAATCTCAGATTTTGTTGGGTGTAAGATGGAAATTAATGGCATTACCATTTAGGCCCCTTCCACCTCCTCCCCAGCACTCACCACACTGTTGTCCACATCCACGAGTCCTTTTCCTTTTTACTCAGTCCCCCCACCCCCAACCTCCCCCCACCCCAGCTGTCAGACTGCTCTCCATCTGCAAGTCTGGCCCCATTTTCCTTGTCCGTTTGGTTTGTTCATTAGATTCCACATGAGTGAAATCATACGGTATTTGTCTTTCTGAGTGGCTTATTTCATTTAGCATAATGTTCTTCAAGTCCCTCCATACTGTCGCAAAGGGTAAAATTTTCTTTTTTGCAGTTGAGTAGTATTTCATTGTGTAAATGTCCCAGAGCTGTTTTATCCACTCCACTGTTGATTCCCTGTAAAATTTCCTTCATTTCACTTAGTGTAACCTTTTCTTTCCTGCCTGGGTCTTTTTTATGCTGTTGAAGTACCCAATGAGTTCCTTGAGCATCTTAATAACCAGTGTTTTGTGATTGCTTCTCTTCATTTTGTTTGGTTCTTTTTTGGAGTTTTGTTCTATTCTTTCATTTGGGCCATATTTTTTTTGTCTCCTCATTTTGGCAGCCTCCGTGTGCTTGTTTCTACAGCCTCCGTGTGCTTGTTTCTACATATCAGGCAGAGCTGCTGTGACTCTGTCTTAGTAGCATGGGCTAATGCAGAAAAGCCACCTGTAAGTTGGACAGGGCAGAGCCTTAGGTCATATAGCCTGGGCGGGGCAGCCCCTGTGAACCAGGTTGAGGGAGCCTCAGATATGGTGCTCACGCTCTGTGGCTCTGTGTGGGGGAGGCTCAGAGAAAGGACGATGGCTGCTGCTCTGCCTCTGGAGTTTTGTATGGGAGGAAGCTGTCTCCCAGCACTTGTCCTGATGCCAGACACTTCAGTTTCTCCCCGTAGGCCAACAGTGCCCTTCGAGCTGCTGTCCCGGTACTGGAACCCAGAGGGAGCGAGCCTGCATAAATCCTAAGCCTCCTGCTGACCCTTTGAGAGGAGACGCCTGAGAATCCTGCAGTTTATTCTGCTGTCCCAACACCCACTGGTTGTTACAGCCAGAAGTCATGGGGACGTATCTTCCCGGCACTGGAACCCTGGGTTGGGTGACCTGGTGCGGGGCTGGGATCCCTCACTCCCAAACACCCCTCCCGATTTTTATCCACCACACGTAGGTGTGGGACCTCCTGTTCCATGTCTTTGCCCCTCCTACCCATCTGCATGAATGTGACTTCTTTAATTCCTTGGCTGTTGGAATTCTATACAGCTCAATTTTCTGACAATTCGTGGTGATAGCTGTTTTGTAGTTTAGTTGTAATTTCTGCTGTGGTTGTACCTCCACCTCCATCTTGACCAGAAGTACCTGGAAGTGAATCTTTTTAATAGACCAAAATTTAGCATTCAAGAGATTACACCCTGGCTGGTATAACTCAGTGGATTGAGCACCCCCCTCTGAACCAAAGGATTGCAGTTCGATTCCCAGTCAGGGCACATGCCTGGGGTGTGGGCCAGTTCCCAGCAGGGGACTCATGAGAGGCAACCGTACATCGATATTTCTCTCCCTTTCTCCTTCCCTTACCCTCTGAATATAAATAAATAAAATCTTAAACAAAAACCCACTCCTAAA